CAAAAATCCCCTTTTAACCCTTTCAGCACCTCCCAAAATCCCCTTTTAACCCTCAAAAAAATTAAAAAATCTCCTTTAAACTCCTCAAACTCCAAATTTAACCCAAAAAAATCCAAATTTAACCCCAAAAATCCAAGTTTAACGCAAAAAATTTCCAATTTTAACCCTTTCAACACCTCCCAAAAACCCACTTTTAACCCATTAAAATATCCAATTCCAATACCCAAAAATTCCACTTTTAACCCTTTCTACACCTCCCAAAAAATTCCTATTTTAACCCTTTCAACACCTCCCAAATTTCCAATTTTAACCCTTTCAGCACCTCCCAAAAATCCACTTCTAATCCTGAAAAAATCCAATTTTAACCCTTTCAACACCTCCCAAAAATCCACTTTTAACCCATTAAAATATCCAATTCCAATACCCAAAAATCCCCTTTTAACCCATTAAAGGTCCAATTTTTACACCCAAAAATCCCCTTTTAACCCCTTCCACACCTTCCAAAAATCCCCTTTTAACCCTTTCACCTCCTCCAAACCCCCTGGCTTCCCTCCCGGACTCACAGAATTTCGGGAATTCCCAGTTTTTCCGGGAATTCTCCTCAATCCTCCTCCTCATCCTCGGCGCCGCCGGCCCCTCCCTGCCCCTTCTTGGCGTTCTTCCTCTTCACGCGGCCGGGTCTTCCTCCGCCGTAGGGCGAGCGCAGCGAGAAGTCGATGTGTTTTTGGGAGTCCAGGCGCACGATGAACGAGGGGATGTTCACCACCTGCTTCCTCACCCTGCCGCCCCCAAATCCCCAAAAAAAACCCCGCGTCAAAACCCCAAAATTCGGGTTTTTTACGGCGGAAAAACGACGCTTTGTCCGACAGCAGATCGCGGTTTTGGAGGATAAAGTTGGGGGTTTTTGGGGGGGAATTTTGTGAGGTTTTTGAGGAGGGAAGGTGTGGGGAGGAGAATCCGAAAAATTTAGGGAGTTTTTCACAAAATTTGGGGGTTTTTACGGGGTAAAAATCTAGTTTTCAGCACGAAATTGGCATTTTTGGGAGATAAATCGCTTTTTTTGGGGCAATTTGAACAGAAACAATAAAGCTGAAAAGATGAAATTATCTGGGAATGGTATAAGAATGAGAATCCCAAAATTTTCATTGTTTTTCACAAAATTTGGGGCAGAAAATCCCAAAATTTGGGGTTTTTTACGGGGTAAAAATGAAGTTTTCAGCAGGAAAATGGCATTTCTGGGAGATAAATCGCTTTTTTTGGGGC